GAAAGATTGCAGTAAATAGAATAGGCTAGGAAATAGAGTGGGTAGCATAGTCTTCATTTTCTTAATTGACTACTTTATATTAAGCTGTTTGATTTAAAAGCTTTTGGATGTAGGCCTGATGTTGAGATCATTATTTTAGTGGTTAACTTTTATCTGCGGCTAACATCGTACTCAATAGTGAAAGACTGAAATTATCCCTCCTAAGTTACAAGAACAGGACAAGGATGCCTGCTGCTATGAACAAATGCTTGTGTCCTGCCAAAATTTTTTATGTTGAAGCCCAAACCCCCAGTATGACATTATTTAGAATTGGTACCTTTGGGAGATAATTAGGTTTAGATGAGGTCATGAGGGTGGAATCCTCGTATGGGATTAGTGCCCTTCTAAGAAGAAACTAGAGAGCTTCTCTCTCTCTCTCTCTGTAGTGTCCTTGATGTCAGGACATAGGAAGGGGATCATCTGCAAACCAAAAAGAAGGCCCTTAACAGAATCTTACCATCTGGCACTTTGATCTCTGACTTCCAGCCTCTGTAACTTCAAGAAATAAATGTCTGATCTTTAAACCATCCAGCCTATGGTATTCTGCTATAGCAGCCTGAGCTAACTAAAATACCCACTTTCACCACAGCTATTCAACATTGCACTAGAAGCTTTAGCCATTGCAATTGGACTAGTAAAATAAATAAAAGAATCCAAACTGGATGATTCTTCTATATATAGAAACATCCCAACGAGCCCACAAGAAAGCTGTTAGAGCTAATTAATCAGCAGGTACAGATGAACACACAAAAATCAGTTGTGTTTCTGTACACCTTCAGTGAACAATCTGAAAGGAAATTAAGGAGGCAGTTCATTTTACAGTAGCATCTAAAAGAATAAAATACCTCAGAATAACTTTAACCAAGAAAGTTAAAGACTTGTACACTGACAACTAAAAACCATTGCCAAAAGAAATGAAAGATCTAAATAAGTGGGAAGACATCTTGTGCTTGTGGGTAGGAAGACTAAACGTCAGGATGTCAATACTCCCTGAAGTGATCTACAGATTTAATATTATACCTATCAAAATTCCAGTGGCCTTTTTTTACAGAAACAGAAAACTGATCCTTAAGTTCATATGCAATTGCAAGATACCTCCTGCTCGGCTAATTTTTGGTATTTTTATTAGAGACGGGGTTTCACCGAGCTAGCCAGGATGGTTTGGATCTCCTGACCTCGTGATCCACCCGCTTCGGCCTCCCAGAGTACTGGGATTACAGGCGTGAGCCACCACGCCCGGCCCGGGTTTTTGCCTTTTCACAGATGGCAGTGGGCGTATAAATGGACTCCATTTTATCTTTGTTTCTGACTTTTTGGCTGCAATGCCAAGTGGCTGTTTTCTGTCTGTGTTCTGTCTGCCTCCCAGAATCTCCAAAGTGTTCTGTGCATGGATAGTATTTAATAAATGGGCATTCACTGGTAGAAAGTATTTGAGAGACTATTAGAAGGTAAATTTGTTTCAAGGTAATAAAATTATAAGGCATTTAAGAGTTTTCTCTTTAAATTTTTAAAGAGAATGTGTCTTATTTTTTAACACCCTACTAAATAATGACATTATTAGGCAGCTACTTTTAGATAAAATGTGATAAATAATACCTTCTTCATAAATTCTGCTCTAAGAATCTGTTTATATTTTGATTTAAAATAGAAGTCTTTTATGTAATTTAAAACCTCATTTCGAATGGAAGTGATATGAATAGTTTATGCAATTTCTGCCAAGGAATTAATATGGACTTTGTTTAAACCACTGTCATTTATAATCAAAATGCTTTTAACTTACATTGATGTTGGCATTAACAAGTATTGCTAGATTGGTAGCATAGAAGGAAGTTGCATTTAGACTTACTAGGAGCTCATTGGTGCCTGAGGTTTTATAACGCTTTCTTTGGGCCATTTAACTGCTGGCAACTTTAATTCACATGATTCATAATACTGGAAATTTAAATTCACTCTTAATTGAAAAGTGAAGTTACTTAAATTCTTTAAATGCTAACCTTTGGAAAAATATCTGAAAAATAAAGGCACATATGATTTTGATGGCCCACTGCCAAAAGATTATCATTTACATAAATATCTCTTTCAGCAGAAGAGTTTAATGTATTGAGCTCAGAAGGTTAGAATAGAGACTTCAATCTGGAAGCCAGCAGTAGCCTGTTGGCTTGTGAACAGCAGCATTGTTCATCATACTGAGAACACTGTTGCATTCAGGCAGAAGCAGAGCTGGCATTAAAATGCAGTTAATTTGTTTCATGTGACTTGTCAGCTGTGTGTTTTTATCTAAATCTTTCTAGCTTCTCTTTTTAGTATTTTGTGTTCAACTCCTGAAATAGATGAACTACCTATTTAACTGTTTAAGCTCTGATTTTATCGCCACTTGCAACCATTCTACAGGTTTTCCATTTCATTTTAAATATATTTAATAATCAGTTTGAACACGATTTTAGTGTATTAAAAGTAACCCCATCTCACATGGCTTTTCTGTCTTGTGCATGTGTCTGTGTCTGTAAAAGGAACTTTCTGAAATTAATTAAGATAAAATTGCTACCCTTATTTTCTCACCAGCATCCTATTCTCTTCTTGTTTGCTAATTGTGTTCTCTGGATTTTTCCCTTAGATGACTTTTAATATTTGGCTACTAGCCAAGTATTGGGTCTGAGCAGTAAAGTGCTAGTCCCAAAGAAATGCTATAACTGTTACTAACATTAGAATAAGATTCCCATTTCACTTTTTGAAGAGCATGAGAATCTTACTGCTCCTCTGCAACTGTGCTCACTTAGTTTAATCAAACAGGTAATATTCTTGTTTAATTGGAAAGATATATCCAGTGATTTTTAAAGAACTTTTTGAGGTATAATTGACATGCAATAAACTGCCATGTTTAAATTGACCGATCTCAGGAGTTTGATAAATGTGTATACCCACAAAGTCACCACCACAATCAAGAGAGTGAATGTTTCCATCAGTTCCAAAATTTTCCATCTGTTCCTTTGAAACCCTCCCTTGCCCCCCTCCTGCCTCACATTCCTAACTTCACAGCAAACCCTGGTCTGCATTGATACTTTAGATTGGTTTGCATTTTCTAGTTTTATAGAAATGAAAACATACTGCTCTGCACTCTTTGTTGGCTGGATTAATTTATTGAGAGATTCATCCATGTTCTTTGTATCAGTAGTTCATTTTTTTTTTATTAGTGCTGAGTAATATTCCATTGTGTGGATATACCATTTATTTATCCTTCCATCTGTTAGTGGACATTTGGGTTGTTTCTAGTTTTCTCATGTACCCCTTGTCTTTTAACTTCTCTTTCTTTTTCTTCTCTTTATCCCTCAGTGATTTGTTCTTGCTTACTGCCTTATATCAGGAATTGTCAACATTTGACCATTTTCGACCTACAAAAACTACGGTTTCATACAGTAGTGTTTAATAAATGTTTTTAAATGAATATTACTTATTTTTACATTCAAGAGTCTCTGCGTGATACAGAATTGTTTACATATTGCTTGAACTCAGTTATACAAAACATTCCGCATAATAAAAGACTAAGTGACATATTAGCAGGTGTTGTGTCTGATTGGCAAAAGTATATGTTTTTCCTGTCTGGTTTTCTGTCTTGTGTATACACGTATATAGTAAGCATATATTACTTTTACAATAGGAAACAAAACCCTTTTTAAAAAAGGAAAAACCTATACTAACTTTTTTTTAATTTGTGTAATTTATTTATAAGTTCTTCATTTCTTGTTTTCTTTGCAAAGGAAAAACCATGGTATTCTATTTAAAAAGCATGGGTTTCAGAACCAGTCAGATTCTCTTCCCTAGTTGTGTGACTTTGGGCAGTCTGTTTAATCTGTCTGAGGCCACTGTCGTCGTCTGTAAAGTGATAACTCAGTGAATCTTCACTGAGCATAGCCAGCTTAGGTGACCTGGAGCATATGACACGCCTGTGCATGTGCGGCTCTCCTTCCTGTTTCCCCACCCACGTCCTGCCGTGGCCAAAGGCAGTAGAATTCTGGCTGTACACATTGTTACCTTATTTTGTAACCATACTACTTTTTTGAGTTTCTTTCTCTTTTATTAAAAAAAAATTTTAGACTGGGTGAGGTGGCTCATGCCTGTAATCCCAATAGGGAAGCTGAGGTGAATGGATTGCTTGAGTCCAGGAGTTCAAGAGCCTCCTGGGCAACATGGAGAAATCTTGTCTGTATAGAAAAATATAAAAATTAGCCAGGCTTGGTAGCATGAGCCTGTAGTTTTAGCTACTCCAGAGGCTGAGATGGGAGGATCACTTGAGCCAGGGAGGCAGAGGTTGCAGTGAGCCAAGATTGTGCCGCTGCACTCCAGCCTGGGTGGCAGAACAAGATTCTGTCTCAAAAATAAAAAAAAAAATTAAAAAAACCCTAAAAATTAAAAATAGATTTTTGGCTGGGCATGGTGGCTCACACCTGTAATCCCAGCACTTTGGGAGATTGAGGTGGGTGGATCACCTTAGGTCAGGAGATCGAGACCATCCTGACTAACATGGTGAAACCCCATCTCTACTAAAAAATACAAAAACTAGCCAGGCGCGGTGGCGGGCGCCTGTAGTCCCAGCTACTCGGGAGGCTGAGGCAGGAGAATGGCGTAAACCTGGGAGGCGGAGCTTGCAGTGAGCTGAGATCCGGCCACTGCACTCCAGCCTGGGTGACAGAGCGAGACTCTGTCTCAAAAAAAAAAAAAAAAAAAAAATAATAATAATAATAATACAAAAATTAGCCAGGTATGGTAGTACACACCTGTAATCCTAGCTACTCGGAAGGCGGAGGCAGGAGAATCGCTTGAACCTGGAGGCAGAGGTTGCAGTGAGCCGATGTGTAATCAGACCAAGATGTGTAATTGTTGTATAAGTAACTTCAGGTGACATGCAGAATTTGCCTTTCTAATAGTGACATTGATAACCTTTTTCATTGATTTCTTATTTGAAGAATATCAAAGAATATTCCAACAACTAAGGATGTTGAGCCACTGCTTGAAATTGATGGAGATATAAGAAATTTTGAGGTGTTTTTATCTTCAAGGACCCCAGTTCTTGTGGCTCGAGATGTAAAAGTCTTTTTGCCATGCACTGTAAACCTAGATCCCAAACTACGGGAAATTATTGCAGGTGGGTATTAGTAGTAAATTTCATTTTTCATCTGAAGTCCTAATAATTTTTCATGTTTCTAACTTATTTGTATACATTTCTCCTGCTCTATGAAAAACCAAGAGGTATTAAACTAAGCACTACACAGAAAAAATAATGAAATTAAAGATTAGGAGTCTTGGTATCCTTTTGAGAATGTAAAGAAAATCCCGTTAGTATTTGTGGAACTCACTTTATTATGATCCCTGTCCCCCACCCCTCGCGCCCCTGCCCAAGTCCTTACTTTGGAACTTTGGAATTGGATTTCTTTTAACATACAGTCATGACTTCATGATGTCCATCCATTGTAATTTGCCTGTCACCAGTCTTCGGTTCTTAATAGGGATCTCTATCCAGAGAAGTAAGAAAATCTTTATATTACTTTTCAGATATTAACTTAAATCTGGGGACTAGAGCTTCAGGGTAGTGACATTAAGGCTTTGAAATAAATGAAGTTCTGGAGGTACCACTCTGTGCACATGCACACACATAAAACCTTCATTGAAACAGTCTTTTGTATGACCTGGCTCTGCTGACCTGCCTTTGAGTTTTCCAGGAACTGTGAAGAGATCACCTTAAACTACTTCTGTATTCTGTTTTCTAGGTACCTGTTACAAGGCTGATGTCAAAGGATATTACATGGCTGTGGAATTTGTTATTGTTGTTCAGAGGTGGATCAGTCTCATAATTTGCAAACCCACAGTCTTTGCTAACATTGTATGTGTTAATACCCAATATGAGTTATTAATAGTTGATAACATTATGAATCAAAAGAATTGTTAGAATATCTTAAATCCTTTAAGAGTTAGAGATGAGTCAGTAGTTCTTTTTTTTTTTTTTTTTTTTTGAGAAGGAGTCTCGCTCTGTCGCCCAGGCTGGAGTGCAGTGGCCGGATCTCAGCTCACTGCAAGCTCTGCCTCCCGGGTTTACGCCATTCTCCTGCCTCAGCCTCCCGAGCAGCTGGGACTACAGGCGCCCGCCACCTCGCCCGGCTAGTTTTTTTTGCGTTTTTTAGTAGAGACGGGGTTTCACTGTGTTAGCCAGGATGGTCTCGATCTCCTGACCCTGTGATCCGCCCGTCTCGGCCTCCCAAAGTGCTGGGATTACAGGCTTGAGCCACCGCGCCCGGCGAGTCAGTAGTTCTAATAACTGAAGAGAAGAATCCAGATATTGGTGACTTCGAATGGTGAAAAAGCTTTTATGCAAAGTAGCTTTTTGTTAGGCCTGTGAGTTTTTAAGATTTTCTGTCTTCTTTTTTAATCTAGTTGGAATCCCTGGCAAGAGTGATAAAGTCATGTTTCTGCCTGGTAACTAAAGAAGAATGTGATAATTGGACTAATTCCTAATGTCCTGTTTTCTCTTGCCTTGTGGGGTCTGATTGAATCTTTCAGATGTTCGCGCTGCCAGAGAGCAGATCAGTATCGGAGGACTGGCGTACCCGCCGCTCCCTCTACATGAGGGTCCTCCTAGGGCACCATCAGCGTACAGCCAGCCCCCATCTGTGTGCTCTTCCACGTCCTTCAATGGGCCCTTCGCAGGTGGAGTGGTGTCACCACAGCCTCACAGCAGCTATTACAGTGGCATGACGGGCCCTCAGCATCCCTTCTACAACAGGGTAAGGAAGTTGGAGGCAGCTTTATTTTTAAGAATTTGTTCCAGGGACACCTCAGTTTTCTGCTTGTAGATTCTGTTACTGTTTTAAAACTGTGCTTTGGCTTTAACATAGGAAAAATGTAAAGTTTGAATGTAAAATATAGGAGTTTTTGGAAATCAAAATAATTTAGAATTTTAATGTGTTCTAGATCTCAAGAGGGTCTGAATATTAGATATTTTTTTCTTTTATTTAGTTTCTTGATAAGTAAATGGACTCCATAGGGTCAACAGTGACTGTCCTATGCTTCAAAGGAATCTGTTTCTTTGTTTATAAACATATATAACAAATATTCTATTTGTTATATCTTGTATAATAGCTTATATTGGCATTTAAAACAATGATAAACTTAAATTCTTCCAGTAGTTTAGTAAACCTATACTTAATATGCTTTTGTCTTTTAAATATGAGATAATAATGGGAAGGTACTGCTAATGAAACTCAGATGTTTTTCCAAATAGTAGCACTATAGCCTATTTTTAGAGTTTTATGTTATCTTCAGTCATCTATACTTTTTTACTTAATATAAATAAGATAATTTCCTAGATGAAAAGATGAAATGCAACTAATTATCAGTGGTATTCAGGCCCTGTCAAGTTTAGTAGGCCCAAGCTATATTCTCACTTTAATGACCTCAAACACTAACATTTCCTGTAGGAAAATGGAGCATGAACTTGGGGTTACACTTTTTGGAACTGTTCTCTTAAGATGCATTGCAATTTCTTCTTTTGCTGTCTCCCTCTTTAGTCTAATTCGAGAAAACATAGGACCTAGTTAGTCATAGAAGCCTAGTGCCTAAACTGGCTGCGTAAATGCATTTCATATGAACTGGGAAGAAAGAGAATGTAGAATAAAGATGACAAAGAAAGGATTCTAGAATTTAAACTTTCAGTTTTTGAAAAATGTTGCCCATATAAGTAATTAGGTACTGTTTAAAGAGGCCCTAGAAATGTTATTCCGTTTTTCTATTTGGACAAGGAGACAAAGGTGGAATAATAGCATTTTATCATGTATTCCATCTTTTAAAATTTAACTGTGTGGTAGGCAGTGTGAAATGCAGGGTTTTATTTACCATTCTTAAAATCTGCTGTGTAAGTTTACATACAATAGCTCTGTTGATGCCAACTGAAAATTTGAAACCAAGAAGCTTATTTTAAAAAACTAAAGATTACCTTACCATCTAGCCTGAGATACTATGTTCACTAATTTCATGAATAACAATAATGTAATCATGCTTTAATAGTATTTTATCATTTTTTAAAACATTTACAGTTTTCTTTTGTTTTTAAATCTAGCTACTTTTCGCTGTAGTTATTTAAGATTTTTTAGTCGTAAAGTTGAAAGCAGAATAATTCTTCTAAGCTGGCAGGAGTAAAAAGGGTGGGCAACATTTCACCTCATGTAACAAAACTTCATGAACTGCAGTCTTTATGTTTAGCCCATATAATTTGATATCTTCTGTTTATATGAAACTGGTTACAAATGCATGCCATTGTTATAAATCTCACACAAACAGTGGATTCCCCACCTATTTTTTGTTGTTGTTGTTGTTGTTGTTGTTTTTAAATATGCTTGCTTATTTAGGATATAAACTCCAGGGTGTAAACAGAGGTGAACTCCAGGAACTTGTAATAACATTATTCTTGGAATTTGTGCCAGGGTGTTCTCATATATTCCAGACTTATTTTGGTCTTATTTAGGCTAATCTCTTTTATTGGTGAGGAATAGTATTAAGATTCCAGTCTGCTTCTTTTAAAAAGATGATGAGTTAATATTGGTTAAGTCACTTAGAACCTGACAGATGGTAAGCTTATAAACATATTAAATATAGAGAAACTCGTGTCAAACTGTAAAGTGCAAAACTTTAGTTGCTCATTTTTCTAAAAAAAGCTTACATGAAATGACCAATATAAAAATGTAAGTAATATGTCTTAAGTTTGAGTTTAGTATCTTATGGAATATGAGTGAGGCTTTTTTTTTCTTTTGTTTTGTCATTTGCATTAAAATTTTGGAGTTGTGTGTTACTGGTTTCATTTGAAAAATCTCATTACACTTTCATTTCTGTAATTGTTTACCCCTTTTTTGTTACGTGTTTTTCCCTAGCCATTCTTTGCCCCATACCTTTACACGCCAAGGTATTACCCTGGCGGCTCCCAACATCTCATCTCACGTCCATCAGTAAAAACGAGTTTGCCCAGAGATCAGAACAATGGCCTAGTAAGTATATAAAAGGGTAACGAAAATATTAATTTAATAATAAACATAGATAGCATTGGAGATTTGCTTATTTCCTTTACATAGTAAAAGAGTACAAGTTATTTTATACATAGTTTTAAGAAACATAACCTATTACTAACATAAAATGTATTTGTTTTCATTTCTGGTAAATGTCTATGGAAGGAAAACGACTAGCAGTCTCAGCAAATAAGTGTTGACTTGTTTATAACCAGAACTTTCTGGCTTGTAAATATAGTGTTTACTACCAAAACTTTTAAAACTAAGCCTTTACATTTGGTAATTTCTAATATCTTTGTAAAGAACATGTGTATACAGTACCTTTATAGTGTATATATATATTAGCACCATGATATAAAAAATAGAGGATGTATTGAAGGAAGAATATTTTAGTCAAATGACAGGAATTAAACAAGATAAGGGAAATTCTTCCAATGAGCTATTGAATCTAATAAGACATTTGTGCCCAAAATATTAGAGGTTCCTGATGATAAAAGTAATAATTTAAAAAAAGAAACTCTCTATTAATATATTTTTATAAATCAGAAGGCAAAAAGCTACAGCACTTACACTGCTGTTTATTTTGTAAAGTGTTGTGCAGGGAAGATCTGTTCACATAAACTGTTGAGTTTCAGTGTCATGTATTATTTTACCATCATGTTCATTTGTCTTCACAGTTTGGCTCCCCTCTTCCCCTTTTCACCCACACTCTCCTGTTTTGTGTTGTTAGGAAGTTATCAAGGAGGATGCTGCTGAGGGGCTTTCTTCACCCACAGACTCCTCGAGGGTAATGGAGTAGTCCTGTGGTGTGGATCGCTGGCATCTCATTGCTTCTGCCTCAGTAATGACTGTCTTAATTGTGATGATAGCAGCTCACTAACTCTGCATTTGTGGTGTGATGAGCAGCTAGTATAGAGTAGCTGAATGCTAATAATTATGGTTCATGAATTAATTAAAAAGCGGATGTTTAACTTCACTCATTTCCTCCTGCTTTTCCCCTTTTTCAATACATGGGATGGGTTTTTTTGATTCTCCAATAAGGAAGGGCTTTTTCTAGCAGCTGTCAGGGGTGTTCAGTTGGTAGTATTTGCTCCTTATTGTGAGCTCTAGCTTTGCCTTTGACTGTTTCTGTTAAGCCTGTAGTTGGTATTACACATGTGGAATATTTTAGAAAAGTATCCAGTGTTAGCCTTGAGACTACAAAAAGACACGAGCTAGATGATCTAGACCAAAAATGCATCTTTAGTAACTCAATCTTGGTGTCTACATTTAGTTAAGTCTTAGTCTGAGTTTTAGTGCAGTACTATAGTACTTTTCTTTACCTATATATTTGTTAAAATAAATTTTCCACTCCGTCTCAAAAAAAAAATAAAATAAAAAAATAAAAAAATAAATAAATTTTCCAGATAAACAGATCATTCAGCATGTAAAAGAAATTATTTATTTATTTTTTGCCAACACCTTAAGGTAGGTTTCTTTAAAACAAAACAAAACAAACAAACAAACCTTGTAGAGGAAATCACTTCATAAATTACTGTATAAGTGGCTGGGCGCAGTGGTTCACACCTGTAATCCCAGCACTTTGGGAGGCTGAGGTGGGTGGATCACTTGAGGTCAGGAGTTCGAGACCAGCCTGGCCAACATGGTGAAACCCCGTCTCTACTAAAAAAAATACGAAAATTAGCCAAGCATGTCGTGGGCACCTATAATCCCAGCTGCTTGGGAAGCCGAGGCAGGAGAATCGCTTGAACCTGGGAGGTAGAGGTTGCAGTGAGCTGAGATCACACTGCTGCACTCCAGCCTGGGCGACAAGAGCGAGACTTGGTCTCAAAAAAAAAAACTACTATATAAGGCTTCGTACTTAATAAGAAATAAGTTTGTAATGAGCTTTAAAATCTTCATTTAGAGCCCGGGCGACAGAGCAAGACTCTGTCTCAAAAAAAGAAAAGAAGAACCCAGTTTGTATTTTAACTTCAGTTGTTTTATTTATAGACTATGCTACACCCATGTAATATGGTCAGTTTAGCCTATAGCTGTGCTGAAATGTGGCATAGCAGTTAGAGTTAACATGGTGAAATATTGCATCCTAAGTTTATCTGTAATTTTTAACTTAAAACATGCAGTTTGGCAGGCAATAGGTTGTTTTTTTTTAGATAGAGTTTCACTCTTTCGGTCAGGCTGGAATGCAGTGGTGCCATCTCTGCTCACTGCAGCCTCAGCCTCCCAGTTTTCAAGTGATTCTCCTGCCTCAGCCTCCTGAGTTGCTGGGATTACAGGCACCCGCCACCATGCCTGGCTAATTTTTGTATTTTTGTAGTAGCGACGGGGTTTCACCTTGTTGGCCAGGCTGGTCTCAAACTCCTGACCTTGTGATCTGCCCACCTCGGCCTCCCAAAGTGCTGGGATTACAGGTGTGAGCCACCGTGCCCAACCAGCAATATTTTTTTAACTTTAATTTCCTTGGAGTTAATGTTAGTAAGATAGAAAAAGAGAACCGTTGTGCTTTCATTGAGAGATTGATTCTTTTAAAGTCATTAACGTTTCAGCTGAAGTGTTTAAGTGACTTCAGTTATCCGCAGTAAACTACAATAATGCTCTTTAGTGCTTATGGAATCTTTATGGGTCATCATCATTATATGCAAGAATGACCTTTAGTTTAGTCAGAGAGCCTTTAGCATATAGATTCATTGCATGCAATTCAATTCTCTGAGCTAAAATTCCTCAGCAAATTTTTGAAGAAAATCAGATACTGTGAAGAAGTTAATGGCCTTAATGACACAGACATGCTGACATAGTAGCTATTCCCATGCTCAAGAATGTAGACAAATACATGTCATTAAAAGGTGTCTAGTTTTTTTTAGGGACCAGTAAAGGAGCATTAGGCAAATTTTGAAATGAGTTTTTGGAGAAGGGGAAATCATGTGATTCGTGAGATGTGTTTAGAAGCTCAGCAAAGGTGCACTCTGCATATATTAGTGACTTTGTCTAGTAAAATAACCATATCATTTGCTTTTATTTTACTATGAAAAGATCACTTTATGATTAGTATAGCAAATAATAGATGCTTACTAAGCTTCCTTTGCTTTTAAGAAATTAACAATGACAATAGCATGTAAAATTTGTTTTGTTGAAGCCTAGAAAAAGTAAGTAGTCACTTAGTTCAATGTCAGATTGAAAGCTGTGGTGGAAAGGCAAAGAATCAGTACATGGGAACATTGCCAGAACTTCGTAGTTGGACCAACAGAGAGTACCTAATAGAAGAGTATGTAGCCCATCAAGCCCTGTAGCAGAAAACTGTTCCTGGACAATGGGACTTCCCGTTGGTCCCATCTCTGCTCAGTCAGCTGTCCCTGTACAAAGCTTGTAGAAAAGTCAAGAGCTACACAAACGTCTTTGGACAAATTGTCATGTCACAGGGTAATGTGTTAAGAAAGCCAGACCATGAGGGGTTAACCAGCTATGGTCTTTTCAAAATAGAGGTGATCTCTGTATATATATGTGTGTGTATGTGTGTGTGTGTGTGTGTGTATATATATATATATATATATTTGCCATGAGGAACATCTGAATCACCTTTATAAATTAGATCCTTATAAAAATAATTGAGTTTTCTCACATTAAGGAACATTGTAGTGCTTATATACCTTGTGAAGTCCAGGCAGGGACTTCTCAGATAAATTATAGATATATCCAAGTGTTCCACAGAAGTGAAGATTTATATAAATAAAATATAATATAAATAATATATATAATAAAATATTTATATTAATATATAACATATTTATATTATATACTATATAAGAAATATATTAATATATTAATATAAAATATGTTAATATAAATATATTAATAATATAAATCCTCACTTCTGTGAAACATTTGGATATATCTATAAGCCTCCATACTAGCTTTTAAAAAATAATTGTATAATAGAGCAAAAATATATGCCAAATCTTATGAAACCAGGTTAAAAAATTAGTACTATATGCAAGACATGCTCCCCCGAATATTAGGGCTAGAAAGGAACAGTGTTTTTCAAACTTCCAAAGCATAGAAGCTGTTAGAAATGAACTCTTAATCAAAACTCCAGTTTATAAAACCAATAAACGCAGAATCCTGGCACCCACATTACACTTACCTTCCCTCTTGAGGGTCCCCCAGGAGTGCTCGTCTCCACATGGCACAGATGGAACGTGTGAGACTTACTTGAGGGACACAGGAAGGGGTGCCAGATTTGGAACTAGAATGCAGGAGACCGTGGCGCTCACCACCATGCTGGTGGCTCCGCCCCGTTCGTCCTGAGCATGACTTAGTCAGGTATTTGGTCTTTTGAGGTAAACAGACCCTGAGGATGAGCTCTTTGCCTTGGACACATTACTTCACACCTCTGATTCTCAGCTTTCTCACCAGGAAAAGCAGACCTGCCTCATAGGTCTGATTTAAGGATTAGTCAGCCTTAGCATACTTCAAGTACATTATTATTATTATTATTATTATTATTATTATTATTATTACTACTGCTACTACTGCCCAAAGGCCAGAATCCATGGAGCTTTAAAGATGCAGAACTCAGACTGTTTTTGGTTAAATCATCTTTGTCTCAGTCATGGGAGTGGTGTACAAATACTCCAATCAATTTAGATTCACACAGACTTTTTAATCCGTTGATGCTTCTTAGGCCTAAAGGTGTTAATCGGTTTGTTTTCTTAGAATTTAAAAGAATTTCTAGGTTATTTGAATACTTCATACACTTTACAATTTTGAAAGCTTTCCAGGGATATTTTCATTGGTGCCTTTACCTTCTTTGAGTCCAGTTCCCACTAGGAAATGGCAACATTCACACCATTCTGTGACCCTGCCGAAGCGAAGGACCCAGTATTGAGGGCCTGTGTCCGGCCAGGTCTCCTCAGTGGCATGTTATTCTGTCATCTCAAAGAGTTGCTCTAAAAGCTCTGTGGTCTGGCTTAATTTAAGGTATGCTGCTCCTGGTGGTAACTGTTTCATTGAAAAGCGCATGTTCAAAGGAGCAATAAAGCATTTCTTCATTCTTTCATTTTTCCCTGAATTATTTTACAATGAGTACCACAGATGCTTGTGTGATCAATTCAACAAATATTTATTGAGTGTAAGAGGCGCTGTTCTCATGGGATACAGCAGTGAACAAAACTGATGAAAATCCTCCCCCACAGAGTGTGGACCTGAAGGCCACCGAAGGAATTATCAGTTCTATGAAGTCATTCTTTCTTGACCTCCTCAGCCACAGGGTTTACTGGTTACCTTTGGACAGCTTTATTTAGATGACTTTTATACCCTGTTGAGAAAGCATGACAATAATTAGCACAAAGTTTAATCATAAAGAATTTCAGAACTGCAAAGGCAGTGTTAACACAGTATCATGATCTCCAGTGTGCTGTTACCTTTACCTTTAGATGTTGATGAAAACTATTGAATGAAGATATTAAAACTGAAAGTCTTGGTTTTCATCAAACAGGATCCAGTCAGTGGAGTGACCAAGTAAAAAGTGAAAACAAGTCCCCATGGGAGGATTCCTGCAGCAATCCCTGCGCAGTCCCCATGTGGTGGCTCCTGCAGCAATCCTGCACTTTGGAAGGCTGAGGAAGGAGGATGACTTGAGCCCGAAAGTTCAAGACCAGCCTGGACAACATAGCAAGACCGTTACTTTAAAAAAAAAAAAAAAAATTAGCCGGGCAGGGCATGGTAGTGCACACCTGTAGTCCCCCTGCTTGAGAGGCTGAGGTGAGAGGATCAGTTTAGTGCCAAGATCAC